AAGCGAGTATAGCCTCTAAGCTAGGTTATGTACGGCAGCCGTATGGCTTGCTGAGAATTCGAATTTACTATTTCAGCTGACAGCTCCAAAGTTCCGGCATTCTGCCTACACTATTGGAGCTTATTATTATTGTTGCTCTCACTTCCCCCCCCCCCCGCCCTCAGTGTCCCTCGTTTATAAGCGGCAGGCTCGGCCCAGTTGGAGACCGGTGATTAGGCAGTCCCCTCGGAGCGCCAGACGCACAGCTGTACAGCGATTACCGCACGGCAAATAAGTGCCTATAGAGTATCGTTGCGCGCTAGGAATGTCGCCTGGCCAGCCCTGCTGGCCAGGGTGTGGTTCGTGCGTCGCTGACGCTTCAGGTTTGCCCTCGGGGCGGGTGACCAGTGGACGCAGTCATTAATGCTGCGTTTAGTTGTCTAGTGCCGTGCGTCAGTTTCTTTCGGCCGTGCCGGTGTGGCCGCGCTGGACAGCGCTGCGTGCGCTCAGACCGCGCCGTGTGGCGCTAGACCGCGCTTCGGCGCACACGCGCCCTGGCGCTCCGAGAGCAGCAATTAGTACTCTGCAGTAGTGTAAGGCCCTTGGCAGCCCCGGTTTCGCCTCGCCCTGTCCTATCCGGCACCCCGAACGCAACCGTACAGCAAGCCATGAAGGCTATAGGACATAATTAACGGCTGGCGCTCTCGGTTCGGGCATATGCGCCGTTGCGCCGGCGGTTGATCTGTTGATTCCTTGCCATGTGTTGAAGCGCAAAGATTCATTCTTTGGAAGCTAGGGAGGAGGAGCTGAGGGTATTAACCTTTTGCATATGTCTTTTTCCGTGATGCATGCATCGACCCATCGATATTCTTAGCGACTAAGGAACGGTATCTGGAACGCCGGTCGTGAATTATTGTGGATTATTAAGGCTATGTCCGCTGTTTCACTTCCTCTAAGGCTTTCGGTTGGTGGCGTTATTATCCGGTGATCAGGAGGACGATGCGATGTTGTCGCGCTTGCTGGGCAACACGCTGTGTATTATGTGTTGGTAAGCATTACCGAACCCCCGGATACCCGACCCGTTCACGGGAGGCGGCGTAACCCCCCGCCCTGGGTAGGTCAAGGTCCGTTGCCAGTTTGGCCTTGCATGCCCTGACTTGCTAGGCAGGTGGGTTGGGGGTATTGGTAGATACTGCTGCCGGTATTGTTGGAACTGTGCGTACGTAGGCACTCTCGGCGACCGTGAGCTGTATGTTTGTATGTACGTACTTATTCTGTATGCATGTCTGTATGTCATACATGCTAAAATTGAAAAAATGGCAGCAGGCTAGGACAGCTTCTCCCGGCTCGTTGGGCTGCTCCTCACCTGGCGGCTACCCGTCCCTGATCAGAACGGTGATCAGAACTGTGATTCTTGTAATGGACAGTTGGAGGACTGCGTCGCGTGGGGTCTCGGGTCTCGGGGGGGGGTGCAAGCCGACTGTACAACATGCAACATACCTCGAATATCCGAGTTCAATTATGTTTTGGGAAAACAAGCCGTAGAGTTACGTTGCCGCTATCCTGCCGCGAACATCTGACCCATTTTCCCTGTTACGCGCCATTTTTGAAGCCCCTTGTGGGCCATTGGCCGCCCTTCCATTTGCCCGCTCATACATCACGACGCGAAGTGGCCATGTACATGACCGCACATGTGCGGCCCTGCACGTATAAGCTGCCGTTGGCGCTTGGCGGGGCTTTTCTCCGGATCGGAGTATGTATATCTGTTGTTAATGTGTGTCACTTGAAGTTCATGATGCTTCATTTGTCGTTGATCTCTGGGCGTATGTATTTCACTGGGCTCGCCTGTTTCAAAATATGTGCGCGGTGTGCACTGCACGCTGAGATTGCCTCATGCGCTAGGTGGTTCTTGGTGAATCCATATCTTGGTCGCGCTGTAACTCGGGGAAGCCCGAGGTTGAGCAAGGACCACACTTATGGGGTTCAGGGAAGGGAAGTGCGTTGATATGAACCGGTGTACTGATGAAGGCGGGATTGTTCGTCGGGATTGTCGGACAACACGCAGCATGTGGCCTGCTGTCCTGCTGGGTCTTCCAGCCGCTCGACTTCGCGACGCTGTTTAACAGCCAAACCGTGGACCTACCGTGGACGGCTCATATGCCATGTGTCCACATGAGTGATTGCTGGTGCAGCGGATTCCCGGGGATCGATGACTGGGGTGTCGATGTCCTTGAGCCGATGCAGGTCCAGCAAGTAGTGCAGTACGTCCATGCATACCGCCGGCCTGCGCCGAGACCCAAGTTGCCAACCATGCCGGCCTTTGTGGGTCTAGAGAGTCATGAGCGCCTTAGCGTCGCCTGCTGAGAGTAACTCGACCTCGACTCAACCAAGCAAACAAAATCCCGAATGACCCCTCAAGTCGTCACGCTTTACCCGTCCTTTAAGTTCAAATCTGTATATAATCCAGATCTGGCGCGCTCTTCACGACGAGGTCTCCACTTGCACCGCACTTACACACCTATCGGCTTCTCCACGGACACAGCTGCTCAACCCCCCTCACTACGCTCGCCCGTACGGTCAGCACCCCGGTGTGTGTGTGTGTGTGTGTGTGTGTGTGTACGTTCCAATGGCACATGGCCCCTCCTCCACGGCGCTGCACCCGCAGAGAGAGTTGGCCGTGACAAACACGCCCAGCCAGCCATGAATGGCCCCCCGCACGCACGCATACGAGCACGAAGACGCCCCTGAGTGAGTGTGTGTGTGTGTTGGGGGGGGTGGCGAAAGCGACCTGTAACGCTCCTATGACAAACACACCAACTCCAACCCCCTCCGCGCGCCTTCCCTTGCCCCTCTTCCTACCCTCCACGTGAGGCCGCCCTCAGCCACTGCCAACACACCGTAACGAGATTCGTACAAATACATACATACATACATGCACGCATACATACACTCCTGGCAGCTACATACATACATACACTCCATGCAAGCATCCCCCTCTCTCTGCAGGAGAGGAGGCATAAGGCCTGTTAGACAGGAGTCAAGCACAGGCACTACGCGCCTAGGGGTGCGCACATCAAATACCCTACTTCCCCTACACACGCCTCAACCCCCCCCCCCGTCAGTCGGTCGCCACTCCAGTCACCGAACCAAGTCTACACTCCACTTCGCGTCGCTCCACTCCACTCCCCCTCAGACCAACTTCTCATTCCGGTACGGTACGGCATGGCTTTACCTGGTGTCCACAACTACCCCCGGCTCCCCCCGGCCCCGGCCCCCACGTCTGCGGCTGCTACCGGGCCTATCAACATGAGTGCCTGCACAATGTGCCGGTACTCCATTGCCGCATACACCGTGATGCCGTAGTTGAGAAACTTGCGCAGGAAATCCACATCGTAGGGCAAGGTAGGCGTCTTCATTAGCACACGGCGAGGTGCAGCTGTTGGCGCTGTACGTCCCCGGCGATGTTGCTGTTGGTGAACCTGGTGGCGATGGTGCTGCTGCTGCTGCTGCTGCTGCTGCTCCGGCCCGCCGCCAGCGACTCCGGCGGTGTCTGGCGCTTTCCGCGGCGCCATTCCCACTCCCTCCCCCACCCATCCCGGATGCTCCTCACTCTCAACGCTGTACGGCGGCGTCGCGTGTCCGTGCTGGGATAGGATTGCCGCTGCGCAATCACCGCTGGGGTGAACGGGCGGTTGCCACAGCAGCCTCAGCCGCAGCGGTGCCAGGTCTAGCAGTCGCGGCAGCACCTTCGACAGCAGGGCCTTACTCAGCAGCTTTACGGTAAACACAAACGCAAATCCCAGCAGCAGTACGGCAACAGGCTGACGCAGCACTGGCGGTGCCGCCGCCGTCAGGAACTCGGTGACTCTTGTGATGCCGGCGGCCGCTTGTGGAGCAGTGTGTACGGAACCCGCTGGACTGGTGCTGTCGCCGCTGTCGCTGAGAGTAAGAAATGGTCGCAGCACCAACACTGTTAGGCTGCAGTTGGTGTTGGCGCTGATCAAGGAACCGTAGGCAGCTCCCAGAAAGATGACCTGTGAGGGCGGGTGGCGACGACGGTGTTCAGGCGGCGTGACTATTCAGGCGGTGGAGGTGGTGGAGGTGGCGGTGAAGGTGAAGGTGGAGGTGGCGGCGGTGGCGGTGTGCACATCCAGTCACCCAGGTTGCGTGCCATACAATGCGATGCCCCCGGGGTCTCGCGAGTGAGACCCACTGCGAGGCAGGCGCGTGTAGAGGTGGTGGGGCCCCTAACCACATGACCATATTCGACACCGATGGCACCCGACAAGACACGCCTCCCTCCCTCCCTCCCTCCCTCCCTCCCCCCCTCCCTC